ACCATATGTAATATTAATGATATTAATAGAACCATGATCACGTGATGTACAATAGATACTATTGGCTGTGTGGCTGACCGTATCACTGGTACTAGAAAGATAGAAGAACGAATAACTGTACCATATGTAATATTGATGATATTAATAGAACCATGATCACGTGATGTACAATATAGATACTATTGGCTGTGGCACACCGTATCACTGGTACTAGTTCACTAATAATGAGTATGATGTCATAGGAGGCATTATAAATTATACAAAACATTTGTGGGGCAGTAAAATACCCTGTATAAAACATCGTCTTACTATTGCTTTATAGGACTATAGGATTTGAAGGTTATTGCAAATCCGTTTTCTCATAGTAAGCAGTGCTTCAATTTACAAATAATAACAAATCAAGCTCAAATGACTTCTTTGACGCGGTCACATTTATTAACATATTGCAAGTATAATCCTTGATATCTCGAAGATGCTTCACTCATTTCACGGGTTAAATGCCTTCATTCTATAATAAACTCCTATTTGCTGCTTAAGGTAATTCCCCTGAAAGAAATTTTGCCAATAATTTTGTCCTGAAAATTTGCATGGACATTAATTATGTTATGAACATAAAGATGGACATAAAGATGGAGTCACCATTCTCGTTTTTGATTTCTCATGAAAAAACATCTCAAAATATTCGAAAACTGACACTTTTCCGAGTGGAGACTGGGGCGAGTCAATTAAAAATCGCAATTTCTCAACTCAAAGATGAGAAAAAGTGAAAATTGGTTTTGAACATGCTTCTTTTTTAGTTTCCGAAAGAAAAATACTTAAACTTTGTTAGTTCCATGCACTTAGTTGCATGCGCAGAAAAATCGTCTTTGCAGTTAGGTTAATACTTGCTATTTAGCGATTAGACCCGCAGCCCGAATAATCTATTATTGATGGTTTTCATGGCCGCCACGTTGGGGGAATTTAACAAAAGATTCGTCATTAGGAACTGGTCATTGATCCACGGGGGGGGGGG